TTTTTTTTTTTTTTTTTGCGGAACTGGGGATTGAACTCAGATCCTTGCATTTGCCAGTCAAGCGCTTATCCTACTGAGCCATCTCCCCGGCCCCTCAATCCCCAGTTCTTAAAAAAAACATACTCGACTGGCTCCAAGCCACAGTAGCACGTGGTACATGGCAGCCATTTATGGCAGCTGAAAACCCCAAAGAGCAAAGGAAGGAGCAGCAGCTGGAGCAACTAGCAAGCCTCTCCCTCTTCCTTACACTGGACGCAGATTACCCACCCCAGGGCAGGCGTAGCACTCATACCTATAATCCTAGCATTGGATGATGAATGAATCACACACTAACTGTAGCAGGTCTCCACTTCAAATTTGATATTATCCCCAATCAGGCATTTACTCAATGGTCTGTCTGCATATCCCAAGTCTTCTTGATGGCTGGCTGTATGTACAGTCACGGGAAGACTGCTCCTGTTTTTTTTTTTTTTTTTGCCGAACCAGGGATTGAACTCAGGCCCTTGCACTTGCTAGACAAGTGCTTATTCTACTGAGCTATCTCCCCAGCCCCGCTCCTGAGATTATAGTGGAGTTGAAAAATTCCTGTCACCTAAAAGCTACAACCCTTGTTGCACAGATCCTGCTTCACCTTGGTCTTAACCATCCAGAAGAAAAGTATAAAAACGAAGTATAAGAAGACAGCCATACTGTTATGTTGAGCTGTGGGGGACTCAGGTCAACAATTTCTGACATTGCCAGTGAAGCGGAAGACCCAATACTATTATGGACTACTGGACTCTTTTAGAATATTTTGCTGAGTTTACACACCTATAATATTTAAATGATGGAACTTAACAAAAAAGGGGATACGGATGAATGTCTATTTTGTATCTGTGTATTCAAAGTGGTTAGGATAGGTATATAGTTACATTCTCTTAATGAATACAGGGATTTGCTCTAATGGTGTTTGTAAATAGGATAGCATGTCCGCATCTTGTACAGCAATTAACCACTAGGAAGAATGTATGCAATGTGTTAATTATCAAAGCTGTCCTACCAGTTTGGTTTGAAAATGTCTCATTGCTATTTGTTTCTCAATAAAATCATGGGGGGGGGGGAAAGAGGATTTTATAGAAGCCCTAAAAAAAAAAAAAAGAAAAATTCCTGTCACACAGCAACATGTCCCTCAGGTGTTTCAATGCAGGAGAAAAGATTGGATACTCCAACAAGCAGGTGGAGGAATAAGGGAAAAAGTGCAATGGGGACAGGTGATGAAGGAATGGGAGGAGAGAGGTGAATGGGGAGGGGAGGAGCAGAAAAAAGGAGCTAGGGAGTGTCATGTACATGTGTACCTACTTCCAAAGGAGAATGCAAGCTTCATGGTCAGCAAACATGCACTAATTAAAATAAACTCAAAAAAAAAAAAAAAAAAAAAAAAGGGAGCAACAGGAGGTACCACAGTAACCTGGCAAAAATTGTTCAACTAGGGGCAGGGAGATAGCTCAGAATAAGCACTTGCCTGGCAAGTGCAAGGGCCTGAGTTCAATCCTTGGTTCTAAAAAATAAAAAAAATTGTTTAACGTGAATATAATCCTTCTTTTCTTCTTTCATCCCTTTTTTTGTTTGCTTGTTTGTTGTTTGTTTGTTTGGTTTTTTTGCGGTAACGGAAATTGAACTCACTTTTATTTTGTTCTTTTTTTTCTTTCTTTTTTTCTTTTGTATTTTAAGGAAGGGTCTACAGGGTGTTCAGGGTCTCACTACTAGATCAGACTCATATTGATCCCCCTGTTTACAGCCTCACAAGAGCTGGCATTACAGGTGGGAGATGCCACCATGCCTCGTCTCAATTGCCATCTCAGCACACCCACGGGCAGGACCAGCACAGCAGGATTGGGGATCAAAGCTCAGGCCCCTGCACCTGCTTGCAGACCCTTTAATACACTGAGAAAAAAAAAAAAAAGTCCTTAGGGGGCCTGCCCCTTCACTCAGCTCTTTAAGTGGCTGCTTCAACAAAGCAGTCAGGCTGTTTGCTATGGTTCAATCCCACAACTGAAGCCGGCCAAACCTGCCCTAAAGGCATTCGGAGAAAAAAAAAATTTACTGAGCTATTTGGCCAGTGCTCCTTCCTCCCTTTCTATCATTTTGTACAATGCAGGAGTGATGCCAAAAGTGATACAAGGGGGGCCAGGGAGATGACTCAGTGGAATAAGTGCTTCCCTGGCAAGCGCAAGGGCCTGAGTTCAATCCCCGGTTCCACCAAAAAAAAAAAGAAAGAAAGAAAGGACATGGAATGAAGGCGTATAATGGAGACGTCCTTCAAGGAAAGACTGGGCTCTAGCTACTAAGATCTAAACATCAGAGAGTCCAGTTTATGGACAAACCATTCTCATCTTAAGACTGGCCATCATGTCAAGAGGAATTCCACGCTGGTGAAGGTGGAAAAGTTCAACCTGAGTTGTACACCTGAACTCATGAGGAGCAACAACTTCACTCCAAAATCTACCAGCAGTCTCTCCCTTTCCCAGATTCCTGAATGTACTGCAGAGCCCAGAGGCACAGAGGCAATGCCCTGTGATCTTGCCTCTCCTGAGCCAACACATGTCTTTGCAGCCTAGGTAGCCCTGGATGAGCTGTTCTCCTGCCTGCTACCTCTCAAAAACTCTTTCATATTCCCTGGAGTTTTTGTTGTGGGTTCTCCCATTGTATGAGATGCATACATATCGAGGGCATGTACTTAGTTGTGAGAACACAAGGGAGTCCATAGTTATCCTAGCCTCAGTTTCCCTTCCTGTGAAATGAGGTCAATCTTCTCATTTTCTTGGACAATAGGAGCCTGTCTTCAGCACATCCATAGACCAGAGGCAGTGTCAGAAAGCTTTAATTCATTGGTAGGAAAGAAAGGAATCCTTAGGCTTGGAGATGACAGAACCATGAAATCCAGCCCATAATTCTCAGGGTCACTCTGGGGGGCCAGACTTAATGTTTCAGTTCTTCTGTGGCTCCTTGTGATGCTGGGGGTTTCCAGGTGTTTCTTAGGTTCAGTGTATGTGCTGAACCGCTGGTAGGGCTATAGTTTTCAGAAGTGTGGGACAGGCTGCAGGCGAGGGGGAGGGACTGGGATGGCATGCTCCCGCTTAGAAAGTGCACACGCTGGTGGTTTGGGGTAGGATGAAGTATAAATGCTTTCATTCAGGCCAGGTTTAGATGCCAGCCACCTCTGCTTCAGCTGCTCATAGAGTCCATAGTTCGTGGGGGGACCTGCAAGAGAAACTACATTTGAGTGTCACTGGGTTTTGAAGTGTCTTGAACAGATGGGGCATGAGAATGGACGGTGAGGCCCTACAGGCTTCCCCAGGCTGCTCTGTCAGAACATAGGCCAGAAGGATGCCAAAGAAGTTCACAAATATCCCACCTTACTCTCATTTATCACTGGTTTTCTTTCCCTACCACCTACCTCTGTTAGAAATTATCTTATTTATTTGATCTTAAATTATCTCATTTAGGAATGACATCATCTCCCTCTCCACTAGCAGGTCAGTTGAGAGGACAGGACTTCTCTGTGCCTGTCCCCACCATGTGCCCAGGTACCACATCATCTGAGGGATGCCATGTGAGGCTTACTCAGTCTCTATCCATCCAGCCAATGACTGATGGGCAATAGGTGGAGATGTTGCTCTCTACCACCTGTGCTCCAGCTAAGCACATCCTGTGGGGTTTAGGTGAGGTCATATTATCCCTGGTGTCAGGAGGAAAGGTAGATGGTGGCCCTGGGTGGAAAACAAGATTCACTTATTCCCGTAGAACCTCACTCTACAGCTCCCTTGGAGGCAAGGGCCTTCATGTAGGTTCTTCTGCACTGAGTGGGCTCACGCAAGCCCGAGGCACTCACAGGCCCCTTACAGAGCAACAACGGGGAGACCTTGAAGGATCAAAGTACCGAGAAGGGGAAAGTCCGACTTCTCTGGTAGCCACAGCAATTTCTGCCTACTCCAGGTGCGGAGGGCAGGCAGGCCCGGGTTGTAATTGTGCCGGTTGTAATGGTCGTCATACGTGCTGATCAGGTAGCGTTGCGAGGGCTCCTGGTGGTGCTTGATCAGGTGTTTGTATGGGAGGCCCTGGAAGGACAGACACGGAAAGAACGTTCCCGGTCAGAATGAGGCACGCACGTGGCTGTGGCTGGGGACAGGAGCTGAGGAACACGGGAGGGGCTGCGACACTGGCTGACAGGAGGCCTCCACAAGCTGCCAGGGAGCCCCAAGGGGGTGTTGCTATTACAGAAGAGGCCTCATTTGATGAGGAGGTGGCTAGGGCGCGGCACGTGAAAGGGGCAAGTAGAAGCCAGTTAGTGACTCTGTGTTGCCTAAGCAGCTGCCAGCTATTTCTAGGGCCACCGTAGGGCAGATGGAAAGTACAGGCA